ACACAGCGCAACAACCCAGAAGACAGAAATCTTCATACTCATCGCCCTGATGACGGAGGCAGTATGACCTCTGAAACGTTGGTTAACATCGACCAGACTACACAGCGCAACAACCCAGAAGACAGAAATCTAGAAAATTGATACACACAACTAAAAAATCTGTCAAAAAACTCAGTATTATGCGTACCTGTCTTAAATAGTAATTCAGTTTAATTACACTGCAATTCATAACACAAAGCCCGCGACAGAAAAGAGTGAATGTGGCGCCAGGTCTTAAATCCCAGTATAGAAGCAAAGCTGTATACATGCAGGCGTATGTATGGAAATGTAGGTTTGAATAAAATATGTCATCTACATTATTCGTCGCATTTTATTATGCATTCACTCAAATAATTTCAATAGTATTACACCCAAGAGAAACACAAAACACTAACAATGCCGCTGGAATAAATTAATAAACGGGTCGGTAGCATACAAAGTGATATTAACATTAATTTAGTTCGCATCGAAGAACAACGCATAACCTAATCTACATGAGAAACATCGAAGCATACAGAATTTAATAATGCAGCCACGATGAAAAGGGGCCATGGCATTTTATATGACACAAATATAAGAGCCAAAATAAGCGGCCAAGACAGTACAGCGCAGGCGTTCTTTACGTAGCCCAAGTAACTTGCTAATGGACAGAACCCACTGTATTTGTCCAAATTAAGAAGCGTATTTTCTGTCCTCCAAATACCTTCGCGCGCATGTTCGACTCTGTTAAATAGCAACACGTGCTACGACACTAAAATAACGTTGTTTATGGGAAGATGTAAATATTTTGTGGGGTACTAAAGGATAACGAAAGCGTCTTATATTCGGGCAAAATAGAAAGCCGACCAACACCGCCTCCTCGAACGATTAACGGACACAGGCCTGGTTATTTTAAACATAACGGTGCTCATTTTTTGTTTCAGGAATCCAGAACCGCGCTCTGGGTGTCTACTTCGGTTACAGCAACTCAAAAGGTGGGTATCTCCTATCACATCTACTACCACCTGGCACCAGGTCATTAAAATACAAGTCAGGCGACTAGCATAACACGACCACATGATCCACGAGGGAAACCGCCTTATGTACCTGCGCACCACTCCGTGACGGAGGATAGAGGGCGTTAAGGTACAACTCCACACAAAGAGGTCAGCACTGGGTGGCAGAGGTTACGAACTTTGTAAGTGTTGCTGCTAACAATCAACAGCACAGAACCTGATAATTTATTTGCATTTAAACGACTCCCCAACGAGGAACTTAATTTTCTGTTTCTTTCTCAGACTCTTGAGGCAAGTGTCTGGAGAAAACCATGAAACAGCATACAGAAATCAAGTGCAGCTGATAAATCGTGTGGTCTCCCTAGGAGAGGTGTGGGTGTGTGCTGAGGGAGTTGCTAGCAGCTGATCATACGTTAGTAAAAATGAAGAAAATTGGAAAGCAAACCTTGAGCCCAGCTTCCACTACACAATTACTACTAGCGATATCTCACGTACTCGGCATTATGTAGATAAGCCAGTTTCATTCATCCACTGCCTGAGCAAGTCAATGTGATTTATGTGGTACCACGTACGGGTCTGCTAAATACAGAGTGCACAAAACGTCTAGGCATTCTTTCACCTGGTGACAATATCGCAAGTCCAACAAAACGGTGTGTTAACGTATCGAAGTAAAGACTGGGCTATCATGAACCGTCGCTCAATGAATGGCCACTGCCACGATACAGTCATACAAACGCACGTTATAAATAATTGTGTCCATTAAAACTCCCGCAAGAGAGAGTTACACATTACCAAGACGAGCAT